TTTCCTCCTTGTAAAATGTTCTTTATTCCATGTTTTACTCATTTCTAGTTTGTGTCAAACTGATAGAATTTCAGTGTCCTAAAGTAAAAGTAAAAGGCTTATTATAGGCTTCTCAGGGTCATAACCAGAAAAAAGATAATGACTGAGGCAAAGTCCATGGTTTAATTCTTCTTCCAAGGTACATGTATTTATAAGTGTTTTACTTTCCCCCTTCAACAACAAAAAAAGATAACTGCTCAGGCAGGTGCCTCAGTTTGTGTCATGCTGGCTATGGCCCTACCCTTGTCTAGTGATCATTTCAGTGGAGCGTTTTAATAGTGATGCGGTAGTTTTCCATGGTTTGTGAATTCCTGGTTTACAATACTTGCATCGGCATGTAGCTTACTGTTTGTCTTGTGCTCTTAGGCATGTTTGAACATGTTTCTGTTTGCTTAGCTAGCATGAACAGGATTGCCACGGTCAGGGAAAAGTCAGGGAGTTTCTAAATCCCTGTTCAAAGTCAGTGAAAAGTCAGGGAATTTTATCTTAAGGTTGCCACAAATTATTTTATTAGGTGTTTTTGTGTAGACAAGGCAAGTTTGTTTTAGAAATTACCTGAGCCGTCCTTAATTTTGATGATTCATGGCCAGAGCAGTCATCTTGCATGGTCAGTGAAAATTGCCTTACAGTCAGTGAAAAGTCAGGGAAAAGTCAGGGATATTTTCTGTTCCAGTGGGTGGCAACCATGATGAATGTCCAGTAGTAATGAACTTACTTTGAATTAAAATAACTTTTCTTTGTACAGGTGCAATTCCTCAGGCATCTCTTCATTTGGCACAGTCAATTTGCAAACCTTAATTGAGAAACACTTTGAGGTAGAAAACTTTATTTTGTGACAATCAGTAGCAGATTTTCCTGTGTTTTGTATGAACTGTGGACAGCTTCTTGGAGTCATGCTGAGCACAGTGACTCTGTAAAAGCCTCTAAATGGCACAGAGTCTGAATTTTGCAGAACAAAATGGTCCAATAGGAAATGTCTTTAATTTATTAAACAATTACATGAATAATACTGCTGTGCTTTCTTTCCTTGCTTGCAATAATATTGCATGAGTCATGAAAACATGCAGGGC